TTAGTGATTGAATAACTGTGTGCATATACTAAAAATTATGTAATTTTATACTTTAAAGGGCCAAAAGTTTTGGTGTGTGACTTACAATAAAACTTTTTTTTAAATGTATTTAGAATAGTTAACAAAGTAAGCACCATGTTTCCAAATATTCACCGCTTCTCTCTGAGGGTGTCTGAATCATGTGACTTACCTTAGCCAATGAAATATGGCTGGAAGTGAAATATATCACTTCCTGGCAAAAGTTTTGGGAGCCAGCATGTTGTTCACCATATCACTTTTCCCTCTGCCCTAATCATCAGCAATGTTCAAAATAGAAGTGGCTTCACCAGCCCACGTCCTAGAGTAAAAACAGTGGAGGGCAGAGCAGTGGGCAACTTTTGATGGACATGTAGCATGAGTCAGAAAAGATGCTGTAAGCCACTGAGATTTTAGGGTATGCAATAACAACAACAAAAACAAGAACAACAACTGGGATTATTACCACCACTGGCAGAGATAGGAAATAGAGACTGTCAGGCCAGCTCCTCAAACAGCATATTTATGTGGAAATATCATGTTGACACCAGGAATATGGAACTGAAATGCAATGAGAAGTCAAAGCAGGAGAAGGAACATTCAAATCAATAACCATTTTCTGAGTGGCCTGTATTGATTGGTTCTGGGGATTCAGAGACGCAATGCACAATCTCTTCTAGCAAACACTGAGCACTTAATCACTTACTACCTGCTAGCCCTTTTGGGTTTGGGCACGTGTGTTGTCTCCAGTCTCACCAAAGAGCAGTTTGGTGATGAACAAGAAGTTTCTCCAATTTTGACCCACAAATAGACAATTCTATTTTAGAGAAATTAGTGAAGCAAATGAAAGGCTGTGGGATACGTTTAAAATAGCTACAGATTGTTCAGGGCTGTGAGCCAGACCCAACAGCACACCTTCCCACACGCCCCACTTGGCCTTGTGATTACTCAAATCGCAGCACTGGCCCGGGCTGCTGCCTGCCAGGAACACCCCTCCCAAGGACAGAACTGGAAGGTAGTTTGCCAGGAAAGGGAAGAGTTGGACTGTACCTGGGGGGAAATGCATGACATTTACCTTTGTATTTATAAGTTTATGCTTCACGTCATGACCCCCCAGTTTGGTTTTCCACCTCCTCCCCTGGCAGTTTGCGGCACTGGCAGGAGCTCAGCCAGGCTGAGGAGGGGTTGGGGAGAGGGACCCGGCTCAGAGACTTCTTTAGGCTGAGCAGCCTAAACCGGACCAGAAGCTTATCTGGTAGTGGGAGGCTGCAGAGATGGACATTCATTCATGCACCAAAGCTTTTAAAGTTTTTGTAAATGGAGCGTGGTTGGTCCAATCCTGAGCTCTGGTGACAGGCACAGGGGCAGAAGCTGGACCTTGAGACCTACAACACAGAAGTGACAATGCAGGACCGTGGGGAGTGGATGCTATCTCTTCTATCCACAGGAAGAGTCAGCCTGGTCAAGGTTAGGCAGGCTCCCGCACAACTGTGTCTTGAAGGATGATGTACAGCAAACACCAAGAGGGGCATGTAGTCCAGTCCTGGGGTGGGTGCAGAGGTGACACCAGAGACCAGAAAAGCCTCTGCCTGAAGAGGAAGAAGAGCCCTTGGCCAGGGAGGAGACACCAGGTTCAAGGCTCGTTGACTTGACTGCTCTGCTCCACTCTCTGTCCCACCCCCTGAAGCAGAGGCAGGGAACAGTTAGGGGCTCCCAGGTGCGTCTCAACTGCCACAGCATCTTTCAGCTTTGGAGTCTCTCATGTGTACAGTATGCATTTCCTTTAAAAAAAAAATCAGAGAAACAACATCTTTAAAGTCAACTGGTTTTTTTCCACCTAGCCCTGATCTCTCCTATTACCGAGGACAGCCTCAGAGAAGATCCCGCACAGTCTCTGAACAAGTGGCCAGCCTGAGTGACAAGGGGGTGAGGACACAACAGCTGATAGATCTTACATGGACATGGTAGCAGCTACCTTGTGAGAGTCAATTCAGGACGATTTAGAATGGTTCTCTGGGCCTGAAATCCCCCATACTGGTTGAAGAGGCTTCATTTCTAGACATCCATGGTGAAATCTAGAATGCAGGAGGGATGTGGCCATGCACTCAAATCAGGAGATATTAGCACCCCTGTATGAGCAGGCCATTAGATAGGAGATAGTGGGGCACACCAGGCAGTTGTGACAGGAGTCATAGGCCCAGCCATGGGCAAATGGGGCTTCTGGATGGGCGAGGAGCAGGGGAAGCGGTCAAAGGAGACCATTCCCCTACGCTAGACATAACCTTTGAATTCTCATGACATTGTATCTGTACACTTGCATCTCTCATTCCATGTGTGAGGACAGGAATTGGTCTGCCTCCTCTTTGGCCTCCTCATCAGTGCCTGCTGCATGTCTTATGCCAAAGCAGTGGTCAGGAATTAAGAGATCCTGGGAGCTAGGTTGGCTGCATTGGGATTCTGGGGTTTCCACTGACATTTATATTTCCAAAGATGTTATTTAGCCCATTTTAATAGTAAACAAACTGAGGTAATGTGATTTATTCAACTATGCATTCATTCAACAAACATTTATTGTGAGCTAAAGCACTATTCTGAGTAACTGGGGATAGAGATGAAAATCATAAAGCTTTTAATCTAGAGTGGGTCGACAAAAACAAATGAAGACGTAAAATGTGTAGAATGTCAGACGGTCGTCAATGTTATGGAGAAAAATAAGTCTGGGAGGAGACTTAAAAAGGAATGGTCAGAAAAGTCCTCCCCTGGGGGTGATACCTGAGCAGAAACCAGGAGGAGGTGGGGAGCTAGCCTTGTGGGAACATGGCCAAACACCATTCCAGGACGGGCAAGGCTCTGGATGGGAGTGTGGTATTCAAGAAGCATCAAGGAGGCCATAGAATTACGTGATTTGTCCAGGTTTCATTAACACAAAGCTTGAGTCCCAGTCTAGTGTTAGAAATCTACATCTAGGGGCTCAGTTGTTAAGCATCTGGCTTCGGCTCAGGTCACGATCCCAGGGTCCTGGGATCGAGTCCTGCATTGGGCTCCCTGCTCAGCGGAAAGCCTGCTTCTCCCTCTCCCACTCCCCCTGCTTGTGTTCCCTCTCTCGCTGTCTCTTTCTGTCAAAAAATAAAATCTTAAAAAAAAAAAAATCTACATCAAAAAAAATTATTTTTCATGGGCCCCGTAAATTTTATAACTATTCAGATTTGTTTTTTCTCTCTTCTATATATCTTTATTTGAACATATTTAATTATAAGCTGACTTTAAGTTATTAACATGCCTAATTTTTTTTACCGTTTTAATTTTTAAGTGTACAATTCAGTAGCATTAAATACATTCAGTGTCGTGCAACCATCACCACCAAAGTCCATTTTCAGAACTTTTCATTACCCCAAGCAGAAGCTCCTTATCCATTAAACAATAACTCCCCTACCCCCCCAAGCCCCTCTTCCCTTGTAACAGCTACTCTCTTTGAATTTGCTATTCTAGCTACTTCATATCAGCAGAACCATATTATGTGTTGAGCTTATTTTATTTAACATGTTTTTAAGGTTTATCCACATTGTGGTATGTATTAGAATTTCATTCTTAATAGTTGAGTAATAGTCCATTGTATGTATGCCACATTTTATTTACTCATTCACCTGTTACTGATGGTCATGTTGTTTCTATCTTTTGGCTATTGTGAATAATACTATTATGAACACTGGGGTACAGATCTCTGTTTGAATCTCTTTTGAGTATATATCTAGAAGTGGAACTGCTGGATCATATGGTAATTCTATGTTTAACTATTTTGAGGAACTGCCAGATTTTTTCACATTGGCTGCACCATTTTACATTCCCAACAATGCATGAGTTCCAATTTTTCCATATCCTTGCCAACACTTTTTTTTCTTAATTCCCATCCTCATAAGTGTGAGGTGGCACCTCACTGTGGTTCAAATTTTACTTTTCTTACTATTAGAGTCAAATTTGCGATCTGTCTTTAATAGATGCATATATTTTTAGTTTTGGTCCTAGCAGCTTATTGTTTTTTGACCCACTTCTAAATTTATACCACAGATTCGCAACGAGGGGTGATTTCCATTCTCAGTCCTCCTTACTGGGGACACTGGCAACAACTGGAGACCTTTTGGGTTGTCACAACTGAAGAAGGGGTGGTACTGGCATCTAGTGGGTAGAAGCCATGGATGCTGCTGCACATCCCTACAACAGAAGGGAAAGCCTCCTGCCACAATTTGGCCTCAAATGCCAGTACTGCCAAGGCGGACAGACCCTGGGTTACAACTGTCTTGTCATATTTCATATGCCTTTGTAAAGTGTCTTCAATCCTTCAGGAACAAAGAATATATAGTGAACTACTGCTTCTGAAGTAAACAATGTTAACATTGTGATAAAGATGCAGAAAGCATAACTTTCTTTTCATAATAACATATTTAAATTATATATTTGAATATACTTATTAACTTAGTTGCTAATCGATTCAATCACCTAAAAGATAAAAATATCGCTATTAATACTTTCAAAAAGTTAGCATGTTCCCGAAAGAAATAATAAAGCTAGATATCTTGCCTTTCATTAAACTGAAAAATCTCATGTACCAGGCTCTCTGGCACTAATTATACATGGTGGACCAGATGGATATGGTCCCTGTACTCATGGAGCATAAACCTCATTCATGAATAGGTGATGTTAAGCCAAGCATTGTTTTTTTTTTTTTTTATGATTTTATTTATTTATTTGACAGAGAGACACAGCGAGAGAGGGAACACAAGCAGGGGGAGTGGGAGAGGAAGAGGGAGAAGCAGGCTTCCCGCGGAGCAGGGAGCCTGATGCGGGACTCGATCCCAGGACCCTGGGATCATGACCTGAGCCAAATGCACGCTTAACGACTGAGCCACCCAGGTGCCCCAAGCCAAGTATTGTTAATAGTGTATTGATGCCTCTCCCCTTTTAAGGTGAATAGTTTAAGGAAACAGAAATTCTTATAAAATGAAAAACTTTAATAATTGTTTAAAGCAAAGGCACAAGTAGACATTTCAGGTTATCATACAATGTTACAATAAGAAATTCCAACAGTAAAATGAAAAACATTATAATTTTGCATCTCTATAGTATATCTAATGTATTATTCTATTATCTTTTCTTTGGAGTGAAAAGAGAGGATAGGTAGATCAATGGATGTGATGTAAAAAGTTGGATTATAAATAGCATTCACTCCACTTTTAACCAGGAATTTTAATTTCAGGAGAATGAATTAAATTAAAATTAATTCATTTTAAAAAACTTACTGTTTTGTTAATGATGGAGCAGCAGTAACTTTCAGGCTAAAGCACACTGTTTCAATAAAGTAAATCCTTGATTTCATAAAACACTAGCAGTCGACGTCTGGTACTACACAATCATTAAGCTGGCCATGAAAGGGCTTCACCGAAACACAATTCATATATTTATTTTACTTTAAATCTGAAAATGATAGTGTATTATGTAAAAAGATAAAGAAGAATATGGAACCAATTCATTTCTTATGATGTTAGAAATAAAATACTTAAAAAGGTCTAGACCTTGTTTTCAAAGGCACTATCTGGAGAGTAACAAGCTGCATCATGCTCAGAGCTGTTTTGTTTTTTTTTCTTCCAAACTAGCTTGCCAGTTGAGACTTGTCGTCTCAATTAGTCATCAAACATTGGGTACCTAATATCTATCAATAGAAAGGGTAGAAATTGTGTAACATATATCTTTGACTGCTTTTTTCAGGAAGAAAAAAATTTACCTTTGATTCTTAAAAGGCTGTTGAAATATTGGTTTGATCTAAAAGTTCTTTTTCATCACCTCAGTGCGATTTCCATTTTATTCAGATCACCTGTAGCTTCTACTTGTAGCGTTTCAACCTAGATGGCAATAACACCAGGAAGGTAACTATCCTGAGAGAGAGAGAGAGAGAGAGAGAGAGAGAGAGAGAGAGTGTGTGTGTGTGTGTGTGTGTGTTTATTTTATTCACTTAATTCCTCCCTGAATATTGTCCAGCTCTAAGTGTTAAACTGAGTAATATTTAAATGACACAAAGTAATTGTGTCAGGGATTAAATAAAATCTATCAAGAGAACATTCTCCAATACCTCGAAAGTCTTAATTTGAAGGGCATAGCATCCTGGTTGCATCCTAAAAACCAGGAAGATTCTAAACCCTTCTAAGGAGTATTTGAATCAAAGTTCTTGAATGAGACGATTGTTGTTTCTAGTTTTTCCATTGTCCAAATTACAAGAATATCAATGGATTAAGGTTTACTTACCATGATTCTTTTAACACCCAATTCCTAACCAGAAAACAGTACTTAGGAAATTCTCTAAGAATATCTTTCAGATTCAGAATTCAAACATGGTTCTCGAAAGATGTTCTTATTTTAAAGTCAGATTATAACATCGGCTCATTGAAGCATACCTTAAAGGTCAACATGCCTGTTTGAAAGAGCCACAAATGCCAATAGTGCCAAGGCGGACAGACGCTGGGTCTGGGATTCTGGAATTCTTCCCTTTCTGTCTCCATTTCCAAAGGGAGAGATATCCTTCCAAATTTGTCTTTGGCATCAAACAGCGGGAATATTTTCCACTTTGAATAGCTGTGAGTTTAAGATCCACTAGGAAATTTTAGTCTTCCAAACCATTAGTTCAACAGCAAAAGCAAATCGTCTGATCTCCTGAGACAAACTTAAGACGCAAGCCTACATTTTAGAGGGTCTGCAAACTTTTTCTCTAAAGTGCCAAACGGTAGATATTCTGGGCTGTTTGTGCACTACAGTCTCCGTTGTCTCTACTCTGCCCTGGTACACGAAAGCAGCTGCAGACAATATGTAAATGGATAAGCATGGGTAAGCTCCAATACCATAGTTTTATCAATACTGAATTTCAGAGGATTTTCATGTGACACAAAATATTATTCTTTTGATTTTTTCCCCCAACTATTTAAAAATTAAAAACCACTCTTAGCTGTGGGTCATGTAAAAACAGGAACCTGGCTGGAAGAGCCTTACGGCCTGTAGTTGCTGACCCTTGGTCTAGATCAATAGATTTCTTATTGTGGGGGTGAAACCAATCATGTGGCCATGACTCATCTTATTTTACCTGGGCATCAAGAGCTTCTAGGCTGACAGTAATGAACCCCAAAAGAGAATCCTAAAAGCACCAGACGATTCTAATAGACGATTCAAGTAGAGCTGTGCAGAGTTTGAGTGTTGATACATCTATACCCAGATACAAATCTATATATATTCAGGAAACACACTTAAATCACATTAATTGTCAGAAAAGCAGAGAATTGAGAAATTCATTAGCTGAACCTTTTCAGCTTGGTGTCAGAGAGATCTTGATTAAAACTTTGGCTCTGCTACTTACTAAATTGTAACCACAGGTAAATTACTTAACCACTAAAATTTAACCTGGTGATATGGACACAACAGGCCTATTTTCAATCTTGTTTCTCAAGCAAATAGCGACAAAGGGCTTGCTAGAAAAGCCTAGTTTATCATGTACCATAAAGTTTAACTTCTGGCTTTAGACACAAAATGATTTTGTCTCTTCTACTCCATTCTGTCATGTAAAGTTCTTTTTCTGCAGGCACCATGTTGTACAAAAGTGTACCTTCATATATACTGAATTCTACTTTCCTCTTATCCTTGAAGGCTATTGTTGTCCACAGGCTGCTGATGAAAATGGAAGTGGAAAGCATCCAGTCAACACACTCTTGTTATCTTTACGTACTCTAAGTGTAATTTGGTGCTTCCACCAATTTATCAAAGACAGGCATTCAGGTTTCCAGGGAAAAAAGTCTAGATGATAAAAAGGAAGAATTGGTAGGAAAGAATTCTTATGGCTTTATCTATGGATTAACTAGAGAATCTGAAGATAACGTTCATAGATTATTTGCAGATACAATTTTTGTGTATCTTGGACCTCAGTCCATTGCTTAAATTATATTAAGTAGATATTAGCACTTAGTAATATGTGCTATAACCTCTTTAATCATGAAAAATTTATTGTTATATACACATGAAGCAAAATATGTCACCAGTAGTGTTTTTGAACAAGCATTAGTTCACTTATGAATCTGCTAGTGTTGAATGCTAAGCAAAATACTAAAGCTATTAAAATATTAGTGTTTGGTTTTATTTTCAATTTTCTTTTAACCTAGTATTTACAGAAGTCCTGTTAGAATGCTGAAGGCAGTCATTTGGCAACATGTACATTCTCCATATAAAATGATTTTCAATGTGGGTGATGTAAATTTATAAATATGTACAAAAACCCCATTTATCTGTAGTTAACCTACTACTCTGACCAGTAGGCAACACATGGAAGCATCATATGCACAAAAAAATTAAAACAAAACTTAAAACTCTCAAGACAGATGACCATTCATTTGTGTTTGTAAAATTATATGGGGAAAAAAAGGCATTGTATTTGGGAGCTTTCAGTGGCCCACTACTAAAGCAGTAATTTTAACTGAAAAACAAAAAACAAAAAACAAAGAACCCAGAAACACTCCCCAACACAAAAACACAAGATAAATTAGATGTATATCTTGGTCAAATGTTTGTAGACAGCTGCCCTGAAAACAAACTAATAAATATGCAATTTGTTGAATGAGCATGAAATATTGCACTAGAGCAGTTTTGTCTGAAGAAAATTCAATTTTCCATAGTCCTGAACTCCAAAATGCTTCCCACATATAAACTGCATTTTCTAAACAAGAAACATTAATATTCAGTAATACTGTTAGAACCTTATTTTTCCCATTAACCATATTCCAGTCTACTTTATGGCAATGGTAAGTCAGTGGTGAAGATTTGGCAAAGATAAAAAGGCAGATAAGACTGTAAAATATATATATATATATGTATATGTATATATGTATGTACATATGAAACAGGTATGTTCCAAAAACCCTTAATCATATGATAACTGATCCCTTAAAAAACCCCACAGTCTAGGTCACAGTGATGGTCAGACAGTGGTTGAGTACGACTCTCTTCTTGGGGGCTGCTCCTTTCGAGCCATTTGGTTGCTGTCTCTTGTCTCCAACACACTGTCTTCTGTTTCGCTTTCACTACCATCTGCCACAGTGGGGTCCAAAGACATCGGGCCAGATTTTCTGTGCAAAGGAAAACCAACACCACTTTCCCGTAAGGAATTATCCATAAAATCTTCATCAGAGGAATGGAATGATTCATCATCTCCTATTAAATGGTTGACAATGTGGATTCCATCAAAAGGAGGCTGGCCTGAGAAGCCCGTCTGGCCTTTTAGGCACCTGAGCTGTCAAAACAAAATCCAAGTTAATATACTCAACTAGGAGAAACACATACACCAAGAAAGCAAATGTTTCATGTTTAAGAAAGAAGATACCTTGTCTTTTTTTTTTTTTTTTGCCATTTGTAGATAAAATAGTAACTATCAATTTTTATGTGCCTCCTATGTGTTATGTAATAGGCACGTAACTTGTTATTTTAATTGAATTATCACAAGAGTCCTGTGTGGTAGATTTTATCATCCTCATTAGAAATTAGGAAATGGAAACTCAGGTAGAGATACTTGCTGTGGACACATAGCTAATAGCAAAATTTAGATTCAAATTGAACCTTCATTATATTACAGATAATATAATGAACTCCATGCACCCATCACCTAATTTCAACAACTAACATCATGGACAATCCTGTTACACTATACCTCTCCTGTCCCTGGATTACTTTGAGGTGAATCCCAGACATTCTATCAGTTTTACGTAAATATTTCAGCATGCATATCTAGAAGATGTGGACTTTAAGACCATACTCTGAACTATCACACACATTGCCTCAAGAGCATGTCCCCATAATAATGAAAATCAGTTACAAACACTGAAAACTTGCTATGAATCTCCATCCTATTATAATATTCCAAAGACCACCAAACCACTATCAGTTACTCTGGGCAGGAATGCGTCTTCCTACTAATGAGATTTCTCTCTGCATGGGAGGAATGAGTAGTATATAATTTTGCCTTCCCTCCCCTACTCCTCCCCAGGGAGAACGAGCAACTTCTCTCGTGAGGGAATAGGGGAGAGAAATGGCATGTATTGCTCAGCTATAGGGAGAACGAGCAACTTCTCTCGTGAGGGAATAGGGGAGAGAAATGGCATGTATTGCTCAGCTATTTCTCTTCTCTTTCCACCTTTCAGAACCAGCTTCTGGCTATCCCAGGAGCTTCACATGGCCAGACCTTCATGTGGACATCACATGCTACCTGTTACTGGGTGGGCAAGTCTGACTAATTCTAGAGCTCAGCAATGAAAAATCCATTGTTGTCACCAATCTAAACCACATTCTCCAAAACCAGCTTTTTCAGGATTAAAGGTGACTTCTTTCTATCATCTCCTATTTCTTTGCCTAAGTTACCTTAAACTCCCAAACCTGCCGCCATGGATATTACCACTTCTACCACCATATAATTGAGACGTCAGCCCTGTCGTCCTCAAGAGCTTAGGTTTTAAATAGGAAATTTAATTTTGATAAGGTCACTTGTTTAATTTCTCCCACACACCATGAATTTTCTCCTACAATAGAGCAGAAGAGCTAAAAACAAAACAACCAAAACAATAATTGAAAAAAACTAATTACCAAAATCTCCCTTGACTTGCAAGAATTTGGCTGAAATAGGTCCCATGCCTCCTACCCTTCTCATTACTATTAACCTTCAACTTTGTTTCTCAGGGACAAATTCCTGGTCACTCACTATCTTTCAAATCTTAAGATAAAGCCTGTGTGAAATATTCAGGAAATATTACATATACTTTCAAAACTAACGGTTCTGAGAGTAAAGACACTACAGCCTTGCCATACACCTGCCAGCTCTCCTGACAGACTTCCGGGAAGAAGTGAAGAAACATCAGCACTTCCCTGCTGGGCTGTGAACAACGGGAAACAAGAAGGATGCTGAGACTCCGGACAGTGATGTCTGCCTCAGACCTTCAACCCTAAAGAAATCCCTATGCCCTGGGCCAAGAGAATAAAATTACAGTGAGGTACGAGGTACTTTAAGTAACACCGTCTCCCTTGGCAGGGCAGAAAGGATCTAACCTCGGAGTTGAAGTTTTAGGGAAAGGGCACAGAGCGCCACAAGGACCTCTCGATAGCTGTCATACCCACTGCCTTACTACAACTGTCACGTGCTGATGCAACATCCTATCACCACGTTGCAATACACAACTTGGAGCTCCAAGTGTTAGATTAAGTCAGTTAATCTCCTCCTTTCTTTTCTTCCCAGACCCTTTTGAAGAAATAATCTGGAACACGTGTCTTCCTTTTCCCTGGCTGTTACCAAAGGAGTACGGCAGGGGAACCACAACTTCCCAATTGTTTGGAAAGCTGTAGCTCTAACAGATTTTATTGCAACTAAAAAACTGCAGCCTCTTATCAGATGTAATAAGTCACCTCAAAATATTACATAAAACTCACTCTAGGTGGAGGGGTCATTTCCTCAACGTCAAAGGGGATGCAACTAAAGCTTCTTTATTTGAGAACTGCTAATAAAGAATAGCAATAGCATAAAGGAATTTTGGAGAAGAAAAAGGTGAAGGCAAGGGATTCTCTGGTAAAACTGAAGCTATCCCTTCATTATCTCTCAGACCCAGGAGTGTGCTCACTGGTTCTGAGAGGAAGGAGGCCTGTATATGCCCGGAAAGGGGACAATTGCACAGGAACTCCAGGGTACTAAGTACCTGTAATGTGCCCTAGAAGGGGCTGAACTTCAGGTGAGGATGTGCTGTGAAGAGGGGTTTGGCTAGAGGAAGGCCAGAGCTGGGCCCTCTAACGTGCAGTCTTGGGTGTCTGGATCTAAGAGCTGTACTGCTGATCCTATTACTAGACTTTTAGACTTGACAGTTTTCTCAACCCTACATACCCGCTTCCACAGATGTTATTACTGGTAGCACACTTAGATTAGCATATCTCAAAATATGGTCCACTGACCATCTCCATCAGGATAACCAAAGACGATTATTAAAAATGCAGAATCCATACCTAGATCTAAGGAATCAAAATCCGGAGAGTAAAACATTTTTTTTTTTAAAGTTTATTATTTGTTTAAATAATCTCCACACTCAGCGTGGGGCTCGAACTCACAACCCTGAGATCAAGAGTCACAGGCTGCACTGCCTGAGCCAGCCAGGCGCCCCGAGAGTGAAACAATCTTACAAGCATCTCAGGAGATTGTGATAGCTCGGTTTGAGAAATCACTGTGGTAGATATTCTGTTCAAATCAAATGAGGCTGAGTCAGAAAGGAGTTGATTTACCTGAAATGGTAATTCTTATTCACAATAAAAGTGCTTCTGAACAAAGAACAACTGCCTGTGTGTGTCTGGTATACAGAAATGGATGCAATCTTTCAGTAGTACAACCAACCTGTTCGCAGCCAAATCCACTACCTGGTGGGTGAAACAAGGGGCAGCCTGTTTAAATGTGTTTTCCTGAAACTTTCTCCTGGTATAGGGTAGGACCCAGGAATGTATATGTTCAAAAGACCTGAATAATTTTGATGCACATCCCAGGGTAAGGACCACTACTTAGGCAATGTTTTGTCTGTTTGGTTGGCTTTGTTTGGTATCTCCTTTGAATCAATCATAGGATCAGGAATCTGACAAAAGCTACTGACTCTCTTTCTTGAGAAGTACATATATATACTTTAGCATACCCTTCTGCAGCCCCCTGTCTTTTCTAATTTTTGGTGAAAGACTGTTGGGACATCTTTATGAAGCAACAACAAAACAACTAAACTTTGTGAAATGCCAGTAACACACTCATATCATGAAAAAGATTTAAAAAGTATTATTTTTCTAGGTGAAATTAGACACAGGTTTTAAAGTCACTGAATGTGAATGGAAGTACTTTTGAGATTCACCAAGAAAACAGAGGGACCAGGATTCTTTGGAATTTTAAGCAAAGGGACTCTTCTCTGGTGAATCTTGGGATTTCCCCCAAAGAAGTGTCTCAGCTAGATCATAGTCAACAAACCCTATCCAGGCATTCAGAACTTCCTGCCAGCTCTTTAAGTTCTCCACGCCTAAAGTTTGAGCAGGGAGTCAAATATTTGAAAAAAGCACCTAAGAGATGCTAGGAAAAAAAAAAAAAGGCAACTAGGAGGAAACAGACTATTGGTGAAAAGAATCTTTAAAAATCATTTATTTCCTCTGAAGAAACTGCATCCATGTGTAAAAAAAACAAAAACAAAAACAAAAAAACCAGAATGCTCTAAAAGAGGTTTCAGACATAAATTTCTCTGACCTGAAAGACATGAGCTTTGAGACTGAAAAAGCCTATCAAGTATCCATCATGATGGATAAAAGTAGACTTATACGATGGTACCTCACAGTGAAATTTCAGGACACTGGGAATAAGAAAAGATAAAGCATCCAGCCAAAAACAAAAACATGTTGTATATAAAAGATTAAGAATCACGATAGGGGTACCTGGATGGCTCAGTCCATTAAGCCTCTGCCTTCGGCTCAGGTCATGATCTCAGGGTCCTGGCTCCCTGCTCAGCAGGGGGCCTGCTTCTCCCTCTCCCTCTGCCCCTCTGCCCTGCTTGTGTGCTCTCTGGCTCTATCTCAAATAAATAAATAAAATCTTAAAAAAAAAAAAGAATCACAATGATATTAGACTTCTCAACTCTAAAGAGAGTAGAGCAAGGCCTTCAAAATTCTGAGAAAAAATTTCCAACATACATTTAAAAAACTGTAATTACAGGGGATAATTTAGTGGATTCCTGTGTTGTCATCACCTAGCTATTTGGAAGCAAATGAAAAAGGATTTTTATGTTTTTTTCTCTTAATAAATACGATCACATTTATTTTCAATAGCTTTTATTCTGCCACCAGGAATATTTGAGCATGCCTATTATATCCAGCCTTGGCCAGCATGACCATTACATATTTTTCTTCATTATAATATGCACTATTATTGTCACTTGGTTTCTTTGATTACTGCTGGGATGGTTGAGAGTTTCTTTTGTTTTCTTTTTATCCCAGTATAGTTAACATATAGTATTATATTAGTTGCAGGTGTACAATATAGTGATTCAACACTTCCATACATCATCCAATGCTCATCACAAGTGCCCTTTTTAATCCCCATCACCTATTTCACCCATCCTCCTGCTCACCTCCCTCTGTTAACCATCAGTTTGTTCTCTATAGTTTAAGAGTCTATTTCTTGGTTTCTCTCTCTCTTGAAATGCAGTTTTTAGGGCGCCTGGGTGGCTCAGATGGTTATGCGTCTGC